AGAAAAAGAATCGTAATAAAATTGCTAAAGTGAAATCGTCAATATATAAACATTTTCAATAACATAATTAATTAAAAATAAAAAATAAAACAATGATTATTTACACAACGCCTCGGTGGTCTAGCGGTTTAGCACACTTTAGCACACTTTCTGATGGTCGCGGGTTCGATTCCTCGCACCGTGCAAACATTTGTATTCATGATTATGATTGTTTCTATCGATCTGTATTCTATGTATATTATGTATGTATTTATAAAAAAAATATCTATTTATGTATTAATATCAGTTGTCTAGTTGGCATAACACAAGCTCTGCTTACCGTGGGATTTGAAAACGCTGTGTTAATTGTCCAGGGTTACTTATTAATTTAATTTTTAAACCCGGCTCTTAAAATAATATATGACAGCATGTTCAGATTTTATGTTATTTAATTACTTCTTTTTTCTATGTGTTTAAATCATAGTTTTAACCTGTTGAGATAAATAAAAACACCATGCTATTATTTTAACATCTTTGGAATGATAATATAATTTAAAAAATAAATTGAAATTTATCATTGAAATGCATCTAAGTATTTATTCCAAAGTCAAAATATGAAAGAGATTTTGTCCTGGTACATTATGTCCTTCTTAAAATATAGACTGTAGTTTTTTTAGTCTGTCAAATTTAGGTTATATAAAATTCTCATGTCACAATGTTAGTTACCAAACTCCTCCGAAACGGCTTTACCGATTTTTATGAATTTTTATATGCATATTCAGTAGGTCTGAGAATCGGCTACTATATATTTTTCATACCACTAAGGGATAAGGTTTGTTACAACCTAACATATTTTTTTTATTTTGGACAAATTTATATTTTTTTTTAATAAAAAATACATAAACCATAAATTTTCACCCGTCTACCATCGATCTCTATTTTTTAATAGCGATTTTAATTTATAACGCAAAACAACAAACAGGGTCAGCTTGTTTTTATATAAAGTCCTTTTTTACCTAAAACAAATAGTCCACAAGTGCGTCCATAAACACCTGAAACGTGCATTAATCCATTAAGGAACCTCAACAGAACCTGCCAACAAATGAGCCGGCTTAATCCCGATATTAATGTAACGGCACCTGTGTGTAAAAAACACCCCAGGAGAAAGGGGGCGGAAAGTAATTTAGGGTGATACATTGTATTGACGGGAACCCCAGACCTCGGTGTAATTACGGGCCCTTCTGCAGGGGCCACGTTTGAATGAACCCACCCATTCAGGCTCTATGGGTTCACATAAAAGGGGCATTTACCTCAAGATGGTAGAACGCCACTCGAATCATAGTCTACCTTCTTAAGAGCGTAACCAAAACTCGCAATGTTTACTTTACGTACCAAACCGCTGTTTGAAAGTATTTAAAATTTTTATAGGGATTTTATAGAAATAGGTATTATTACCTATTTCTATAAAATCCCTATAAAAATTTTAAACTGACTGTTGACTGAAAAAGCTCTTGACCACATGCACCTAGTCGAAACGTCGAGAGAGATAAAGATTTACTGAAAATGATTCACGTAATAATTTTTCAGTCTGCTTTTGACCACGGCTGGTGCAACCTAGTTGTATGTATGTAATTTATAACATGTATGTAGTTCATGTAAGTGTAATATAGTTTTAGTTCTAGTTTAATTTCTTCTAGTTTAATACATATATAATTATTATTGTTCACAAAAATTTTTAATTTATATTATACTTGTTATTCTTTTTCTTCATAAATATATGTTTGTTATGTTTTTTTGTTTTCTCCTGTATGTATTTAGTATCTACCTGTTCATTTTTCTCCATAAAGTTGCCTTGAAAAGATTGCTTTTAGCAATAAGGCCGCCTTATTGTTAACTATACGTGTTGTCCTTTAATATATTGTTTACTTTTTCTTTACTGTGTGTTACAAATAAAGTATATTCTATTCTATTCTTGAAACGTCGAGAGATATAAATGAATATCTGTATTTATATCAACAATAATTCGTCTTAAGACTAATTTAACTAAATTAATTTCTATTTCTATTTCATAAATCGAAGGAATCGAACCCGCAACCATCGGTACACCGCTAGACCACCGAGGCCGTGACCCGCCATGGATTACAGTCAACTGTCAAAGTGACAGTTACGTAACAAATGACATGACGGCTGTATGGGTTTAGACTCTTTGCCTTTCCTTAAAGGATAAATAGAACGAAAAAAAACAAATGACATGCCTGCATCTCGCTAAGCATATCCGAATCCAACGTGACGGGGCGAGAGTTTATCACCATCTTGCAGATTTACTTTATTACGATAAAAAAATCTGCTGCTGCCTCGGTGGTCTAGCGGTTTAACACACCGATACCGACACCTACTTCCGATGGTAGCGGGTTCGATTCCACGCACGGCACAATCATTGCAGATGGAATAGAATAAAAATACTTTATTCAAATATACGTACATTTAAGCACTGTTAAATAGAAAAATAAATAATGTATTTTTTTTTAATGAAACGCTCATTCTGAAAGCTGTGTCATCACAAGAACGAGCAAGAAACACGCGTGGTAATGAGTAATAGAGAAACAAATTATTTGATGAATCGTTATCTATACATATAAATAAAATTGGAGTGTCTGTTTGTAATATTGAAATAACCGTTTTTTACTACATGCATATGAATATAAATACGGTACATAAAACCAAAATAACATTTTTTACAATTTTTGTCTGTTTGTTCCGGCTAATCTCTGAAATGGCTGGACCGATTTTGACAGTACTTTTTTTGGCAGATAGCTGATGTAACAAGGAGTAAGTTAGGCTAATTTATTTTAGAAAAATAAAGTTATAATCGACTCGGACGAAGTCGCGGGAACAGCTAGTATAGTATAAAATAAAGTCGCTGTCGTTGTGGTCATCTGTCCGTCCCTATGTATGCTTAAATCTTTAAAACTACGTAACGGATTTTGAAGCGTTTTCTTTAATAGATAGAGTGATTAAAGAGGAAGGTTTATATATATAATACATGTACACCTATGCGAAGCCGGGGCGAGTAGCTAGTCATTATCATTACATAGTATAAAACAAAGTCTCTGTTGCTGTCTGTCCGTCCCTATGTATGCTTAAATGTTTAAAACTACGCAACGGATTTTGGAGCGGTCTTTTTTATTCTAGAGGAAGGTTTATATGTATCATACATGTACACCCGGGCGAAGCCGGGGCGAGTAGTTAGTAACAGTATAATGACAAACAATTAAGCATATACTATGCAATATTCAAAATGTTACATTCAAGCCCTTTCGGAGTAATTAAAAGCTCTGCAACCACGAGAGGGTCCTTATCTCAACTCTGCAAGATCCCCCACCGCTGCGCAACGAGCAATTTATGTGTTTGTAAATTTACTGTGTCCATAACTTGTTACCTCCCCCTTCATCCCTACTAGTCTAAAGGGCTATATAGCTCGAATTCTAAACTAAAACTCAAAATCGTTTAGTCATGTACACAGATGAAATCTATTTTATACTACTGTTATGTAATATTATGTTATCTGTGCTACTGTACTCATGACTTCGTCCGCAAGGAATTTAACTTTATTTTTCTAAAATAAAATAAGTTACATCAGCTACCTGCCAAAACAAGTCCCGTCAAAATCGGTCCAGCCATTTCAGACATTAGCCGGAACAGTCAGACAGACAGACAAAAATTGTAAAAAATGTTATTTTGGTGTATGTACCGTATTTATATTTATCCATGTAGTAAAAAACAGTTATTTCAATATGTAATATTGAAATAACTGTTTTTTCAGACAACAGACACTCCCATTTTATTTATGTATATATATATCATGTAGTGTTTGTTTTATAGTAATTGTTTTGTTTATATATGGCAATATTCAGTAAAATATTTCGACAATATGGTTTCTTTTTTTGCTCTCGTCTCGTTACGTAACACCCTGGTGTTTCAGGCGTCCATAGGCTACGGTACCCATTTACCATCAGATAGGCCGCTAGTGGATTCCGAACCTCCTTAGTCTAAGCAGGTTGTATCACCAGAAGCAAAGGGCGCTTGGTAATACTGGCCACAAATAAGTACATGTGGCCACTTAAATTTCAAATTTAGAATAAAAAACAATTTGAAAATAAGAACTGGAATAAAAAGGACGCTCCGTATTTTTATCTAAGTATATAAAACAAGATAATTAATGATTTATTTAACGTAATATTGTAATTGTTTTTATGAAAACATACACTGTAGAGTGCGTGGCCACTAAACAGTACTACACATCGGGACGTTCCTGAGCAAAGATGAGTAAGTTTGGTGTTACATTGCTTAATTTGGGCTGTTCGGAGTGTGGAAGACGTTCTTCCAGGGTGAAATCGTATTTCTCCTACCCTATCCATTAATTATTTTCAATAAATACAGTCCACTCTCTATTTTATTCATTACTTTATAAGGATTCGTAATTCAACAGTTAGGGACCTTAGAATAAAAAGAAGATCATAGACAAAAACCCCATTATTGAAAAAATAAAAGTATGCCATCGTATTACTACATAGGTATATTATTTAATTTACGTCGATTTATTTTAATTATAATTTCCAAAATGTTTTCCGTATGCATTTTACAGATTCGGCTTGTTTACTCTCTCGAGACTGCGGTGCGGGAGTGGGTGCATAAATTAAATAACGCTAGTCAACTCTACATTCTGGCTTTTATTTCATTAGTAACTAGTATTTTTATAGTGCATAAAAATCTGATTGTAGGTAGGTATGAAAACTAAAAAATACCAACTAATAATAACCAAATTGTTGATATAAATAATCATTGTTCAACTGGCAAATATTTTTAGTGTAGGCCAATATTTTAACTTCTCCAGAATATATCAAAATAACTTCAAAATGTATAAAAATATAATCAATATACACGCGCATAGACATTGAAATAATTCCAATATTATTTATGGAGATTTTACATTTTCAACGTCGATGTGAGGATTTTCTTACCTTAGTGTCGACATCATGAAATGGGACAGCAAACCAAGGTTTGCCCGTTAGACTCTTGCGGAAACCAGCTTCTCTCTCCACCGGGCCCTCAGGCGTGCCCACATGAGCCCATAATACCACTTGAACGACTTTCAACCGCGGTTGCACTATTTTGTAAATTTCCTCTAAACGAACTCCAAAATCGTCACTCGTGTCGCTAATGTTCGCGAATGAGAAATAAATACCACACACAGAACCATCGCCGTCTTCAACACAGTCTCCCAAACCTTCCAAAGTTGGCACAAATTCGAACTGGCCCTTTTGCGTTCCCGCCGATTCGCACTTCACAAGCACTTTCCCGAACAGTTTTTCGCGCCAATCCATTTTTGAAAACAGAACAAACTAATTTCCCGCTCACACTGGCATCGTTGTGTGAAAAAGTCGACTCACCTATTCCAATCAGCCGATTTGTTTATTTTACTGTATTTGCGTTACATAAATATTAAACATGCCAGTTGTTTGACTGGTTCAACGGAACCGCTTTTTGTTCTGAAAACAAAATGTGCTATGAAATTGAATGTTTTGATTTATACCGCTTTACATAAAACTTATTATCATTATTCGAAACGATTGTAACAGAAACGTGATATTGAATCGATATTTGATTATATTTTTTATAGGAAAGGAATCAGTAGGTATGTTTTTATTTTAAAAATGGAATGCTATTACGCGGGAGGACGACGAGCCGCATGACGAGTGCTCCCCTCCGTAAACAAAACGAGACTGCAGGAGCCAGTATCAGAACAAGCGGACAGGACTTGGCAGGAGGGAATTAGACGACGAAAACACAAAACAAAGGAAGCTTTCAAATTATTTACCACATTTATTTCATAATGCATCAAACAGCTAATATGAATGTTGGCTTAATTAATTTGTTATTTGATTAGTAAATAAAAACATGACGACATCCTATTTAAAATGCGAATAACATTATCAACTCAAAATTAATTAAATTTAAAACACGGTCTTTTCATGTGTTACAGTTAAATTACATAATTTCAAAGTTTGCTTGTACATTATCATCTCTTCAGAATAGTAACTTTCGCATTTGACTACCTCAGTGGTTTAGCGGTGTAGTCCACTGGCTCACTGCCTTACTTTCTGGTGGTCGCGGGTTCGATCCTCCCATAATTCAAACATTTATATTCGTAACCTTATCTGTTCCGTATTGATCTGTTTCTGTGTAATGGAGAAGAGAGAGGATTTGTATGAAGTACGTCTAATACCCATAATACAAGCTCTGGTTAGTTTATATATATAGCAATGTGTTGACTTTATTAATATAAATGAGCAGCAAATAAATAAAAAAAAAATTGTTTCGGTCTACTCTAATGCTGTTGGCCGCCTGGCCTTTACAGCTTCACCGGACGATAAGGGACGAGTGCAGATGGCACTCCAAACTCGCGGAAGGACTTATGGAGCGGCTGAAGGCCAAATCCCGCCTGACGGATACGACTTTAGTCTGAGGGCACCGCTAGGGGTTGGAACCTTGGCTCAGGCCGTCGTAATATCGATCCCCGTTTGAATTGGACGGGGGATCGATGGGAGTAAATTCTTCGCGTTTCATAGCCTGTCACAGTATCCAACAATTCTGCACCTGGACCGTGGAAGTGTCAACCTATATTAACCCAATTCTCAATACATATTTTATGTAGAGGTTTGCGTGAATCTGTAATAATTTAGCAATTTCCATATCTATTGTAAAATCTGGCGTCCCTTAAGGCTGGCATCAATGATACATCCGAGAGGATAATAGTCGTAGTTTTTCTATAATAATCAAATATTCATGAGTGTGATTGTTTGGGTGTTTTCTATGTATAATATGTATGTTTAAAAAAATGTATGCAAGTATTTATATCAGTTGTCTAGTAGTTTGGGACTGGAGCTGAGTGAATTGTTGCTGAGATATTATTAATAATGATAATAATAATCTCAGGAAAATAAATAAATAAATAACTGACACAAATTTATAGATTTTTTTTCGTAAATATATGCATATATACTTATACATAGAAAACACCCAGACCGATACAACAAACAAGGAGGTGCGAGGAATCGAACCCGCGACCATCGGACATAAAACAGCGTGCTAAACCGCTAGACCACCGAGGTCGTCAAATTAATATTATTATTACTTCAACGTACTACTCCGTGGAAACCATCTTGGTTAATTATTACTGAATTCTGACTTGATTTGATTCACATCATCTTCTACTAATGTTCTGGAAGTATACATTGTAAGCGCAGGAGGGAGCAGTATTCCATCATCATTCATAAAAAATACAATTCTCTCTTTTGGAAGGCATCTGCTCAGATGTACCGTCAATAGCAGACTTTATATCTCGCGGTGGCATACGAAATCGGGCTCCAGACCGAAACAAGGGAACGCGGAACAAAAAGTACGTACAAGCTCTCGACGTGCCCTGTCAGTTCGGGGCCCCGAGTTGTTTGTTTTGCTTTGCTATGCTGTACATAATATAACTACATAGTAAATTATGTATTATTTTTATGACTTGTGTACGAAAGGATTACGTTTTATACAGACTTCAAAATTTTGACATAGTCAATTTGACTGTTTTTTTTTATTTTTCCTCATGTGGTATCGCATTCACCCCGATTTTAGGGTATTTTGGCTCACATTCACCCCGATTTTAGGTTATTTTGGTTCACATTCACCCCAATTTTAGGGTATTTTGGCTCACATTCACCCCGATTTTAGGGTATTTCGCCAAAAACAAAACGGGGAAACGTCATTAATTTATATCTTACAGCAACGATAATTATGTAGAATATTATTTTTTAATTGTTTTTAATTAATTTTAATTAAAAATGTTATTTTTTAATTCTGATATAAGGATTAGGTTAGAAAATTATATAGAATACGATATTTACAAATAATATACATTTTACGGCTGACTGTTTGTTCTGTTTTTATGCTCGCCATATTTAATTAAAAACATCTATTCTAAAGAGCAACACACATGTTTCTTGCTCACTCTTCTCGTGATGAATCTGCATTCCGAGTGTAGAGCGGTGGTTATCCTCATCACTGTAGCGTTATATATGTGGTGATGAGGTGGCGCTACATAATATATTATTTATTATAGTATGTAGGTAGAGAGTATATAGTACGTATATAGTATGTGGATGGTTATAAGGGTAGAAGAAGGCCGAAAAAGAGATGGATGGACTGTGTGAAAGATGATATGGTAAGAAAGGAAGTAAATACTTAACGCGATGACTGCGAACAGTGATGAATGGAAGAGTAAAACATATTACGCCGACCACAAATAAATTGGATAAGGAAGAAGCAGATGATGTAGGTAGTGAGTATACCGGTAAAATTGTTAGAATATATTATCTCTATCTTTAAAGTAACTTACTCTGTACAACTTTTGTGTTCTCTGTTATTTTTTTTATTATCTATGATTCTTTCACCTTGACCTACTTCCGGTTTTTGTTAAAGGCAATAAAAGATGTCGTCTTTTTGTTCAAATAAATGATTAAATAAGTACATAAGTATCTAATTATTTCACAATTGTCAACAAAAATGATTGTACTATTTGTTAGACATTATTAAGTTTATTGATAGTGTGGTACATGGCTTAACAATATAGTACAGTCGACGCGGAATCGAGACGTAGACTGATTTTACACTTAACTTAAATGTAACATACATTTAAGTTAAGTGTAAAATCAGACGAATAGAGACGTAAACTAATGGAAGGGTCACGATAGAAGTGTCGACAGAAATATTATAAGTGTAGACACACGAGAAATACAATTGATTTTTTTTAAAGTCAGTTTATTTATAATGTATATATAAATATATAAATATATATATATGTGTATATGTAGATGTCTATGTCTAACATTAAATGAAAATCCTGTGCATTAACAACTATTGCCATGCACGATCGTGATTCAAAAAATCAAATGACAATTAGCCCATGGGGGTAACCTTGGTATATTGTTAGCAATGGGATTATAAGACTACCTTAATAACAGTCTCCCTCCCCTTATACCCTTTAGGTGCTAAGTACTTGATTATTATAAGCGACGAGGCGCCACGCAGTCTAGCGCTTGTAAATAAAAGCATCAAGGGTTGCCAGGATGATTTATTGGAGCGTTTTATGGGAAATCAATAGCCGGAGGTGCGCCGCGCGTCTGGCTTTTATCCGCCTGTCAAATGAACCGTTTTATTGTATACTAGCTGCACCCGCGACTTCGTCCGCGTGGAATTTAACTTTATTTTTCTAAAATAAAAGTAGCCTAAGTTACTCCTTATTACATCAGCTACCTGCCAAAAAAGTCCCGTCAAAATCGGTCCATTTCAGACATTAGCCGGAACAAACAGATAGACAGACAAAGATTTAAAAAAAATGTTATTTTGGTGTACGTACCGTTTTTATATTGATATGTATGTGGTAAAAAAACGGTTATTTCAATTTTACAAACAGACATTCCAATTTTATCTATATGTATATAAACTAGTGGTCTGGCCCGGTTGCGTCCGGAGGCTTATAAAGTTATGAGTCTTGATAATATTAATAGGTATATCCATTAACTCTGGAAGAATGTACTTTCGAAGTAAAACAATTTGTCAAATCGGTGCAATAAATGCAATAATAAAATATTATCTCTCCATGTCTTTATAATATAGACTCCAAGAATTAAAATACCGTAATTTTAATTATTTCCAGGCTTCAAGTGACTTAATGTCTGTATTTTGTTGATATATATATTGTATTTATATTGTATAAATTAATTTAGCAGTTACTTAAAATTAATACTATAAAGTGTTTTTTTTATATTCCAATATTTATTAAAATCTCACTCATAAGTTTATATCTTATCTTATATATTTGAAACTGAATGAGAACGTGCAAAACTGTAAATGTATTATGGTTTTTTTTTTATATTAACTGAACGTGTAATACAACGTTCGAAATGTAAATAATTTCAAACGTTATTTTATATTAACATAACCCTGTTTATATATGAGTTTTGTAGTGTCTTGGTATAGTTTTCGGAGTAGTATTTCTAAAATAACAATAAACTCTTATTTAACTTTCTTTTTAACTGACATTAACGACTCTTTTGTAATCAAAACATTAGTATTAGATTTCTAATCCACCTAATAATTTTCTTATTACCTCTTGTTACTACCTTTTGTAATATTACTGGTATGGTCTGGCTACAGAAATACGCAACTTTTGTTTTTATATATTTTTTTAATCAGGTTATATTTGGGACAAGAATGACGCTCGTGTAACTCTGGGCTTATTTAGGCTGAGCCATACTAGCCATCAAAATTCACCACCAATATGTCAATTTCAAACTTAACATTGTTTGATTGTCACTACGGGAAAATAAGAATGCCGGTACTTTGTTGGTGTTTTGATTTTGTTTATTTTTTATTTTTTGTTTGTTTTTGAAGTAATATATTAAGCTAAAGGAAACTTTTACAATTTTATGACGTTTTATTCGTTAACATTAATGTATATACAATTTTAATTTGTGACTTACTCTAAAATAATAATCTTTAAGGTATGTAAATATTATGAAAACAAAACTTAAGACAAGTACTGCAATAGTGCTATATTTTGTTATAAAAGTTTTTTAGAGAATTAATATATTGAGTTACAATGTACATAAAGAATATACCAAGTCGTAACATAGCGCACCTATTTTAAGATCAGCATGCAAACTGATCATAATCGAATGAAATTAAAAATATTTATTCCAAATAATTATTTACAGAGTCTTTATTCAATAAGTATTTCTTAATATGAACAATCTATGAAATAGTATATTTTTTTATATTTTGTCAGTATCATGAGTATTTTATCATGTTTTTGTTTTAATATACCCTTTAGGACAAATTATAATAATAATATTTAATAATGATATTTATCTTATTTCTCAAAATATGGTATGTGCACAATGGTGATAATAAATCAAATCAAAATATTATTCATGTAGGTCTATTATAGACTGTCAAAGTGTCAAATCTCCCACAAATAAAAGTTACATGTTGTGTTTTTATGTTATTCAATTGTGAAATATCTAACTAAACTTTCAGATGACATCTAGGAAGTGTAACATAATGAGAGATGATGATGATATCATTGAGACTATGGACCTCACACAATATGACGAACAAGATGTTTCATGTAAGCTGATGTCTTATTAATTACTAGCCATGCCAGTGGTTTCACCTACATGTTATTTATAGCCTATATGTTATCCTGATATAAAAGCTTCATTCATTTATTCATTTATAATTTAAGAGCTACGTACGCTCTTGTCGGTGGAGCTCTTGCCACTTTCCGCGATCTTCCATCATGCTCTTTAATTCTTAATACGACACGACTCCCATTTTGTTCTCAATTTGTTTGATGTAGCTATTCCTTGGTCTTCCCCTCCCCCTCTTTCCTTCTATTTTCCCCTCACTAATAATTTTCATGAAATCATCATGCATATCAAGTGTCCTAACATTTAATATAAAAATATAAGATAAGATATAAAAGCTATATTATTTTAAAGTTTTTTATTTAAATCTGTTGAGTAGTTTTTACATGAAACAGTAACAAACATTCATCCCTACTCACAAACTTTTGTGTTTGTAATATTAATAAGATTTATGATGATGATGATGATAGCATTCCTGGACAATTCACATAGTGCCTAAGCAGAGCTTGTGTTATTATTTTATTTATTTCTCTGAAATATACAAATACTATAAAGTTGATTATATCCCGGAACAAACCTATATCCCAGGAGTCCACAAAAGAATTGAGTATGTTATCGATATGGATTATTATCCATATTGATAACATACTCAATTCTTATGAGTATAGAATATAATAATATATAATATAAATAAAATATGATAATGAATATAGAATATAGAATAATACATTGTTTATTTGTAAATAAATTTATAATATGCATAGAAACATCCAGACCGATACAAACAATCATACTCATGACTGCAAAAAGTTTCTACTCTTGAAGGAATTGAACCCGCGATCATAAAAAGTATTACAATTCAGACTGCATGATCATCTTAGCATCCTCCACTGGTTGCCTGCCAGCATAAACAGTTAACAAAGTTGAGAGCACCATTCCATTATCAACTATCCAAAAGTTATGTTATCTAAAATTTGCAGTTGAGTGTACAGACTCAGCTTCGACCAGGACACAAGCATCAACTACTAGCACCGTATCGGCTATGTCAGGACATAGCGCTGGCAGACAACGGAAGATGCGCAGGAAGAGTGTTGGTTAGTTACTTTGGTTATTATATCAAGTTTTATGGATCAATGTTATGTATATAAACAATGGGTACTTCAATTATTATTTGTAAATTGATTTATTTTTGTACTTTTATAATTATTATGAACACCTGCAACTTTGTCTGCATCACACTTATTCAATATTTACCATATATTTCGCCCAATTTACATGATATCTTTTTAAATTATAGCCTATATGTTATTCTGATGTATAAGCTATATTGCTGTAAAGTTGCATCAAAATCTGTTCAATAGTTTTTGCGAGAAAGAGTAACAAACATGGATGGATGTTATACTCACAAACTTTCCAGTTTATAATATTAGTAAAATATTAAATTGTTTTGAATAAAAACATTTTAATTTATTCTTTTATGTAAGTATCCTATGTACTTTATTGTAAGTACATTTAGTGAAAAGCTTTGTAGTGTATCAACTTACAAATAGACACTTAAATTTTATTTGTGTGTATATATTTGATAGATTTTCTACAGAACCATTTAGTATACTATATCATAAAAATGAAACATTTCAGGTAGTTTACAAGAAAGAAACAAAAAGAAAACGCATACTGCAGAAAAGCAAGTTAAAAAGCAGAGAATAGCTGACAGCAAAGCGGCAAAAGCTGCAGAAAAGGAAATGAACAAAATGTTGAAACCTGGAGAGTGTATGAAGGTTTGTTATATCATCATCATCATCATCAGCTTGGAAGACATCCACTGCTGAAGAATGGCCTCCCCCAAAAATCGCCAAGACGATCGGTCCTGCGCTGCACGCAGCCAACGCTTTCAAGCGATCTTGACCAGATCGTAGGTCCACCTTGTTGGTCTTCCCACGCGTTAAATATAATAATAATCTCAGAACAATTCGCACAGCGCCATCTAGAACCAAGTTAAGCTAGATGAAGCTTGTGTTATGGGTACTAGACATCTGATATAAATGTATACATATTATATATAGAAAACACCCAAACCGATACAAACAGTCATACTCAGGAATTGAAAAAAAAAACTTAAAAATACAAATATTTGTGCCGTGCGAGGAATCGAAACCGCGACCATCGGAAGTGTGATAAATCGCTAGAACACCGAAGCATTAAAAAGTATATTTGAATGAAGATTTACTTTTCGAAAGAACAACTTTTATATCACCGTTTACTATTTCCAGTATATGAGTATAGAGATGCACCCGGCGTTGTCCGGTGCGTGGTACATGGCGGACGTGGGGCGCGAGGCGGCGGCAGCCGGATGCCGCGTGACCACCGCCTCCACCCTGTGCGAGCCCGCGCTACTCATGTGGTCACGGTACCGTCACCAGCGCACTCTCACTGCGGATGATGGACAGGTGAGCAACGAGCAATTTTAGTATGATAGCATATTAATTCAAGAAGGGTATATTAAGGTTTCTTAAGGGTCGGCAACGCGCACGTGATACCCCTGTTGTTTCAGGCGTTCATAGGCTACGGTAACCATTTACCATCAGATGGGCCGTATGCTTGATTGCCACCATAGTAGTATAAAAAAAAATTAATAATAGTGATGATGATGAGGGTGGTGGTGGTGATAATGACGATGGTGATGGTGATAATAATCCCCCTGTACAATTCACACAAGGCCATCTAGTCCCAAGGTAAGCAGACCTTATGTTATGGGTACTAGACAAGTGATATAAATACTTGATATTTTTTTTTGTAAATACATACATAATATATATAAAAAACACCCAGACCGATACAAACAATCATACTCATGAAAACAAATGTTTATACCGTGTAAGGAATCGAACCTGCAACCACCGGAAGTAAAGCGATGTACGAAACCGCTAAACCACCGAGGCGCCATATTTATAATTGCTATTTATAATGCAGGTATAATGTAAATAATATTTGCTGCAATAGTCGCGGGTTCGGTTCCTCGCACTGAATTGATGTGTGTGATTGTTTGTGTCGGTCTCGTAGTTTCTATATATATTTTGTATGTATTTACAAAAAAATTACGTCTAAGTATTCATATTAGTTGTCTAGTACCCATAACACAAGCTTTGTTTTGCTTGGGACTAGATGGCGCTGTGTGAATCGTCAACGGATTTTATTATAATTGTTCAAAATCTACCCTGTACCATCGTAAGCACAGATTATATATTAGAGTTCGTTAGTTTCTGTTTCGCGCGCTTTTCCTTCCCCATTTTATGTATCTATTAAAATACAATCTGTGGTAGGTAGGAATGAGTGATACAAGCGAGAGATGCAATCGCGCGCTGTACGTCTGCGAGGCTGCAGGAGTAGCAGACCTGGTGGCCAGTCGAGGTCTGGCAACGCAGCTGGCGCACCTGCAGGAGCTGGCCAGCTGTCCGATCACTCTTGTCATATTCGGCCTCAAAGATTACTTCAAGTGAGTTTTTTTCGGACTACTCTAATGCTGTTGGCCGCAGCTGGCCTTTACAGCTTCACCGGACGTTAGGAGGCGAGTGCAGATGGCACTCCAAACCCGCGGAAGGACTTATGGAGCGGCTGAAGGCCAACTCCCGCCTGACGGATACGACTTTACTCTGAGGGCACCACTAGGGGTCGAAACTCGGCTCAGGTTGTAATTTCGATTCTCGTTGTATTGGACGAGGGATCGATCGGAGGGGTCTCACGTGAGGTAACTTTTTCTTTTTTTATACTCTGCACTAATTTAATTGTGTTAAAGTAACGTAAAACGCGTTGTGTGAATTGTCCTGGGTATATTATATCTGTATTTATAAGCAAGACAATTTTATTTAATCTTGGCTTTTGTATATATGTTTACATTTTATATTATATTTTAATTATTATTTTCACGTACTCAAATGGGTTGAAGCTGAAAATCAGTGTTTTTGTAATGTATTCAATGAAAGACAGACGATCACGGAATGAGGTTTATTAATGGCCGATACAAAGAACTGTATGTGACGGTGTACAGAAAAAATATATTTATCTACTACCATCAATATTAATACATAACACTTTCCTCGCCTAATACTAGAACAATACGATAAATAAAAAGAAAGATCTGCTTATAAACACATAAATACAACCTTGTCACTGTATACTTAACTTAACTAGGTGTGAAAACATACCATGCATGCACAACTTTTTACGGGCATAATTCTTTTATAATAATTTAAATATTAGTGCACATACCTACACACTGATGACTCATGACAAATATGGCGGACATGTGCAATATTAAATAATTATATAAAATAAATGAAAGGTGGATATTATACAAAAACCGGTTGCATATAATACATATAGAACAATTATAAAGATGTACTTTTATTACAAATGACTTATTACGGCTTACTACACTGTGTAAAAGTTACTAATAAAAACTATAAAGTATAGGTACACTGAATAACAAACAATATAAAGTTATTCGTTATTTACGGGGTCTCAATTTCATGGCATAGGGAGTAGTGGGCTTAGTGACATTATTTATAACATTGTTTTTATCGTTTTGATTACCGATACGCTCTTTGCCATTGCCGTTGTCTGCCGACCGGGTATCCATACACGTCGCTGCCGACTGCGAACCTTGCGACTGATCGTCTGACCTAATGACCGGCTCGGGGTCCATTCCCGTCGCGAACGAATCGTTTCGACACTCGTTAGCGGTGTCTTCGTTTCCCTTCGTTACCTGCGGTCTCGACATGTCCGACGCTGCGCCTAAAGAATGTCGTGATTTTCTTAAAGGTTGTTTATTTATGATCTGATCTATATGTCTCCTGATAGGACGATCGTTGTTGTTCGTTTTGACTACATATGACACCGGGCCCGTTCGCTCCGTAACCACCCCCTCCTTCCACTTGACGCTCGGCGTGGAGTAGTCCCTGACGTAGACGGCGTCGCCGGGGCTGGCTTCCCGCGCGGTGCCGCCGCGGCGTTCCTGTTGTGCGTGCTGCGCGGCGCGCACGAGGGCGCCCGTGTCGGGGCGCAGCAAGTCCAGGCGGCCGCGTAACCTGCGCCCGAAGAGCGCCACCGACGGCTCCTTTTTTGTGGTACAGTGTTCGGTATTTCTGTATGTAAATAGAAATTCAGACAATGCCCTGTCATAATCTTTGTTTTCTACTGTCGCTTTTTTGAGCACTCTCTTAACCGAACGAACCGCATTTTCTGCCGCTCCATTGCTGGATGGGTGATATGGCGCTACTAGAATACGTTTGATACCGTTTTTTTGTAGATAATTTAGGTACTCCGCAGAAGAAAACGGGGGGCCGTTGTCACTGACCAAGCATTTTGGTATTCCGAAGCGTGCAAATAGTCTTCTCAAAACTGATATTACTACTGGTGCGGAAGTAGTCGTTACCTTTTCTACTTCGATCCACTTGGAGTGAGCATCTACTATGACTAAGTAGTGACTGTTACGATATGGACCTAAGAAATCCAGATTAAGACGAACCCACGGTTGATCAGGCCAGTTCCAACAATGCAAAGGAGCTGCCGGCGGCGCGTCGCGGTGTGCGGCACAAGCGGCACAGTCGCGACAGGTGCTTTCTATGTGAGCATCTATTCCATCCCACCATAAGTAATTACGTGATAATTGTTTCATTTTAACTACGCCTATATGCCCGCTGTGCAACTCTTGTAACATCTGTGATTGGAGAGTGACTGGTATCACTACCCGATAACCCCAAACGAGACAATCGTGTTCGACAAATAAATTTTCTTTACGATTAAAATATGGTTTTTCGTTTTCATTTTGTAGTCGATCTGGCCACCCGAATTTAATATAACCGATTATTTTGTTTAACAAAAAATCCTTTTTTGTTGCCTCTTTTATTTCATGAAAAGTAATAGGTAATTGATCTTCAATAAAATAAAAGTAACAATTATTCTTTTGATTATTAATTTGTGAACTATGTTTTTCTTTTATCAATTTTAATGGCAGTCTTGACAAACAGTCAGCAAAAATATTTTTTGTAGAAGTCACAAATTCTATATTAAAGTTGTAAGCGGCAAGCTTTACCGCATACCTCTGTAATCGGCTAGCGGCCGTTTGTGGAATACCCTTATTTTTTCCGAAAATATAACTTAACGCCTTATGATCACTACGTAATATAAAATGTCTTCCGTAAAGATACTGATGATGTTTAGTGACTCCGAACACGATAGCGAGGGCTTCTTTATCTAGCTGTGAGTAATTAGATTCGGCCGCATTGAGCGTACGCGATGCACAGCTGACTAACCGCTCCGAGCCGTCCGCGAAGCGGTGAGTAAGCACGGCGCCCAGTCCATACGCGCTGCTGTCTACAGACAATATCAATGGCAAACGAGCGTCGTAATGCGCTAATACCGGTGCTTTGCACAGTTTTTGTTTTATATTTTCGAATGCGCGCTCACACTCCCTAGTCCAATTCCATTTTACGTTTTTTTTTAATAGATTATAGAGGGGATTCAGAGTTTGACTAATATTTATACAAAATTTAGAATAAAAATTAACGAGCCCCAAAAAACTTTTCAATTGCGTTACATTTGTAGGGGTGGGGGCGGTCACAATAGATTCCACTTTTTTGTTATCTGTGTGTAGCCCGTTTTTATCGATTTTATACCCAAGATATGTCACACTATTTTTAAAAAATTCACATTTTGATAGATTAACTCGTAATCCCGCGTCTCTTAAACACAATAAGACAGCTTTTAAGTTTTTTAAATGGTCATTTTTATCTTTACCCGTCACGCAAATATCATCTTGAAAGACAACCGTACACGGCAAGCCACACAACGTTTCCTCCATCGATTTTTGAAAATTTTCGGGTATACATTTAATACCAAATGGAACGCGTTTATATACAAATGTCCCTATGTGTGTGGTGATAGCCGTCATCGGCTGTGAGTCTTCTGTAAGTACCATTTGCTGATAGGCATGGGACAAATCCAATTTTGTAAACTGTTCACCCCCTGCCAGTGTAGCAAATATGTCTTCTATGCGAGGCAATGGATAATGAAAGTCTTTAATTAAAGGATTGATTGTAATTTTATAATCTCCGCATATACGGATGTTACCGTTTTTTTTTATAACCGGTACGATCGGTGTACCGTAATCCGATCGGTCCACTTTATAAATAACCCCTTCATGTAACAACCGCTTAAGTTCGTTTTCGACCGGCGTCCTCAAAGCGAGTGGACGGGGGCGCGCCTTAACAAAAACTGGCGTTTTATCACTTAGTTGTAAATTAATTAGCGTTTTAAATGTCCCAAGACCATCAGCAAATACGTCAGAGAATTCTTTATGTAAACTATTGACTAAAGTCTCCTCAGCTATGTGAAAACATTGTACAACATTTTGCAATTGTAAACAACGGAGCCAGGTACGACCCATTAAAGGCGGGCCTCCGTTTTCAATAATATATAATTCAAGTAGTTCAGTCTTAGAGTCAAAAGTTACCTCGACCGGTATATAGCCCATAGGTTGTATTATATTACCTACGTATGACTTTAAACGTAAAGCTTTTTTATGAATAGGAATGTGAGAAAATAATTCATTATAATTATTTTTTGATATTACAGAGATTTTACTGCCCGTGTCTATTTCAAACTTGACTGTTATATCATTAATCTTTAAATCAATGTAATAAGGACTGTCATTATTGCTACAAATTATATTATAAAAATCTAGTTCGCTGTCACCTGAATCATCTAAAAAATGTTGCTCCTTAATTTCCTTTGGGTCACTTCCGTCACTTTTACGCGTATTTTTACGGCACACCACTTTTAAATGTCCTTTTTGACCGCACTGATCACAAGAATAATTTTTGTAACGACATCTCGCTGCTGAATGACCGTTGCGGCCGCAACGCCAGCATCGGGCTGCCTGATGTACTACCGCTGGCTGCCCCGATGCCGGCGACACCGCGCTGCGCCGCTCTCGTCTCGCCGCTATGCTGTGCAGTGACTCAGCTGCGCCTCTGCTTTCGCCGCCGCCGGACCCCGCCTGTATAGCGTGCCTGTCCGCTGCCTCCAGAGAAAGCGCCAGTTCCACGGCGCGATTGTAACTTAAATCCTTTTCGGCAAACAGCCTGGACCTCATGTCCTCATTGTAAAGACCAGATACGAATTGATCCCGCAAGTTAACCTCCAGTGGGTTCATAACGGTCTCCGTGAAATTGCAAGTTTTAGCCAGACGCTTTAAATTTTGCAAATAATCACACACTGTCTCATCTTGCTTTTGCTTTCTTTGCCGAAAGATATGTCGTTCCGCAATCTCCGACCGCTGTGGTTCTAAGTGTTTTCTCACTACTCTCACCAATTCATCGAAACTTTTGTTTTCCGGTAGTTCCGGTGCGCAGAGATCGCACATTAACTCGTAACAGGTTACACCCACGTGGGTCACCAAAGTAGCCACATGTAGATTCACTGGTATACTATTTAGGGTTATAAACTGTTTCACACGACGACAATATGCATCCCAGTTATGAACACCAATTTCAAAAGTCTCAATTTTTCCTATCGGCATTTTGAATGTAAAATAAACGTATGGTTATTAAAAATACCCGACTGCGCCAATGTAATGTATTCAATGAAAGACAGACGATCACGGAATGAGGTTTATTAATGGCCGATACAAAGAACTGTATGTGACGGTGTACAGAAAAAATATATTTATCTACTACCATCAATATTAATACATAACAGTTTTGTTCCTTGAACAATGTTCCATGCTGAGCTTCGACCTTTTTGTATTGCTACAGATCACACATAATAACACAATTTTATAAATCTTATGTCGTATTATGTATTGTCTATACTTATGAACATGTTGTGTGTGATTAGTAACAAAGAAATAAACGATATATCTATCTATCTATCTACATATATCTCACTTCCATTTTTTGTAATTGGCATGATGGATGAAATTTTCGTCATTGTGTTAATCTTCTTTTCAGGTCTTCCGGCAGGAAAACTACGAACAGCAATAAGAATTCGATGACTGAAATTGATTTAGAAATGGCTGTAACAGGTATGAATATATATTATATATATATATGATGATGCAATAATATATATTCATATGAAAACGCAATATACTCATTATTTTAACACTTATACTAAATACTCGCCTCAGCTTCGCACGAGTGTACACGCAACGAATTTTGAAGCGGTTTTTTTTAATAGATTGAGTGATTTAAGGGGAAGGTTTATACATATAAACCATCCCCTTAAATCTCTCAGTAGTTTTAAAGATTTAAGCATTCATAGGGGCGGACAGACAAAGATAGCAACTTTGTTTTATACATATTAATATGAAAATGCAATATCATCCCTCCAGTGGGGTGAAAGTCTTCTGTAGATTTTCCACACATTAAAAAAAAGAACTGATAACAATAATGTTTTTCAAGAAGGGTATATTAAGTATTCTTAAGGGTCGGCAACGCGCACGTGATACCCCTGGTGTCTCAGGCGTCCATAGACTACGGTAAAATGTAAATGTAAATGTATGTTGGACTCCAGTCTCCGCAATTAGCCTCTCATTCGGGCCGTTGTGCGTGCAGAGCCAGACTACTAAAGTAGCCAGCCAAGCTCCTCCCAAAAGCGCAGAAGACTCCTGGTGTCTTCACAGGCTTCACGGAGCGACCTCACCGTTCCGAGGATTTGTTTTCGTTGTTGGGCCACTGCCGTGCACTTCAGGATTACGTGAGCCGCCGTTTCTTCAGCTTCAAAGCAGCCCCGACAAAGGGGGCTGTCTGTAGCATCAATTTTGTATAAGTGTTTGTTTAAGGAACAATGGCCCGTTATTATCCCTATCATTATTTTGAGGTTAGGTCTATCTAGATTAAGTAGACGTATTGTTAACCGATGGTTCGTTTTTGGAATTGCCACTTTAGATTGCTTGCAATCAGTGGTTAGGTTCCATCTTTGGTTTTATATTTCGGTGGATCTCTGGCGGATCTCTGGTGGATAGACTACGGTAACCATTTACCATCAGATGGGCCGTAAGCCTGTTTGCTACCATAGTAGTATTATGTAATATTATGTTATCTGTGGTAGTATAAAAAAAAATATTGTTACCAGTTGTCTAGTTCGTTCGTCGTTAACTTAGCTTGGGACTAGATAGTGTTGTGTTAATTGTTCAGATTTATTATTGTTTTTTTTTTATGCAGATCTGCTTGTTAGTGCCGGCGTGGATACAGTAACAGTGAATACACCCAACGAACTGGCGCTACTCATCATACAGTTCACAAAGGCCATTGCAGAGGAGCCCTACAAGTAGGTTTTGTTTTTTTTAAATACAAGATAATAGAGTGGTACACTTGACTGCGCTAACGGTATATATACACGGACATCAGTTATGTACATATACATGGGCATTGGTTATCCCATTGTGGTGAAGTCACTAGCAGTAAACCATAGTACACAGTACACAGTACACATATAAATAAAATTGGAGTGTTTGTTTGTAATATTGATTTAACAAATTTTTACTGTACATATGAATACGGCACATAGATCAAAATAACATTTTTTTGCAATTTTTATCTGTCTGTTTGTTCCGGCTAATCTCCGAAACGGTTGGAATGATTTTGACTGGATCTTTATTGGCAGGTAGCTGATGTAATAAGGAGTAATTTAGGCTACTTTTATTTAATAAAATTATTTCCACGCGAACGAAGTCGCGGGAACAGCTAGTGATAACTAAAAAAACTTGAATAGCAACTAGTTGCGGCATGATATTTCAGTCTCCGTAAATGGAAACGCATGATTGGTATGTAAACAGGCGTCAACGATAACGTGATGCCCGCGGTGCTGTTTATATTTGTAGGTAGGGTTACCACTTACCATCAGGTACCGTATACCATTCCAATAACACAAAAAAAAATATCGGTCTACTTGCAGAAAAGCAAAACGCGCGTGCGACGAACAGGCAGAGTTCTTTATGAGAGGTGACAACAAGAAATGCGTTCCAGTTGATAAAGATGGTAAAGCTATTCACATAAAAGTATATTCTGATGGGCCAAATGCCTGTTTGCCACTGTCGTAGTATAAAAAAAAGAAACAACATTTATTTATTTTAAAAATAAATTTAAAAAAATACTCCTCACTCAGAAAACTGTGCCGTGATGTGTCTGCACTCCAAGAGCGGGGTAATGCAGGGTAATACTAGTGTCACCAGAATTTATGTTTATGTTTATTTTATGTTTTCAGTGTGTAGTTTATGTTTGATTTTTATTTATATATGGTAGTATGTCGTAAATGTTTGCTTTGTGTTGTCCGCCTGGATTTATGTATGTATGTGTATTATTATTATTATTTTATTATATTTATTGTATATAAGGTGTCCGCTGAAAACCAGCGTCGTGGCACCCCGTCACGACATATGCTGAGCGGAGACCTAGTTGGTACTCTAATTATTAATATAAACTGTAAATTTAATTTTAAAAATTATTCTCAGTGTACCAATTAAACAATTTTCTTTCTTTCTTTCTTTTCAAATTTAAAAGAGCAACGCAAGTTTCATGTTTGTTCGTCTTGTGATGAGTGTATTCCGAATGAGTGATACAGTCAGAAATATGACTATTAAAAAGTGCTTATATTAAGTTTATTTGAATAAATATTATTTCTATTTATATTCTACTTGAGCGGGAGAGTTATCCAACGATAAATACATTTCTTTATAACAATAATAATTCATTTTTTTGTGAACCATTTCACCCTTATAAAATCTTATAATGCTTGTACGCTCATAGATGGCGCTGCGTGAAATAATAGATCACGCAGCGCCATCTAGACCCAGGTTAAGCTAGCTAAAGCTTGTGTTATGTGCACTAGATAACTGATACAAATACATAGATATATATTTCTTTCGTAAATACATATTATACATAGAATACTGCCTTTTAAAATAAAAGTAATTCAATTGAGTTTCTTGCCAGTTCTTCTCAGTTGGACCTATATACTGAACTGGAAAAAAAAATTACAATGTAAAAACTGGTTCATAAGCGGCTAAAATATCCTACATGAATACATTTTTGAATTTTAAATTTTAAAACACCCAGGCCGATACAAACAGTATACTCATGAATACAAAAGTTTGTGCCGTGCGAGAAATCGAACCCGCGACCATTGGAAGTAAGGCGGTGCGCTAAATCGCTAGACCAACGAGGTCGTCTAATAAAATATATATAAATAGATTTATATATATAATAAAATATATATAGTTAGATTATAGATGGATAATATCATCAGTGCGTCTGATAGTCATTAATATTGCAGGTAATGGCCTGAGCAGGCTGTGGCAACAGATGATCGCTGTGCTACCATTGTCGAGCTTAGAAACCGCCAGATCACTATGCGCTGAGTATAAATCACCACTTGAACTTTATAAGGTACTAGCAGTCTCGGCAAACGTTGTTTTACCATATTAAGTAAAATCGCTATTAAAAATGGGGGTTGGTGATAGAAGGGTGAAATATTTAGGGTTGTATATTTTAAAGCCACATTTCAAAAGATAAAAAGAAATATCGAGAAAATTTTTGGTTTTAAGCCACCCTTAATACTTGGGGGGTATAAAAATTGGTTACAAACCTATTATATACATATATATATATGAAATTGCATCAAAATGGGGGGGGGGGGGGGGGGGGGGGGGGGGGGGGGGTAGTTTGAACAAACTAGCCGATCTTGGTATATCACGAGCGGCCGTCCCAGGCTCCAGATCACGACGTCTTGGTCCTGAATTCGCCAGAAAACTTCACACTTTGTTTACGGCTGAAGATGGAAATATATTGATAGACTGAAATGTTGAAAGTAATGACTACAATAGTTTTATTTTACACAGCTGACTATTATTTTAAAACATATTTTTTTATATACAATGTGAGAACCCTATCTCTATTGTCTATTGGTCCCTCGAAATTTAATCAAAGCCGTACATAATAGCATGTTAGTAAAAATAATGTCTTATCTGTGATCATGTTTGATGTTATTTTGTAGAACCAAATTAGAATAAAGTACTTAATATACTTATTGATAGTTTTTTTACATATCTTATATGGATTTATAACGTAAACGTAAACAAAAAAGCCTCTGTACACAGCGACATGTAAATAAAGCCACTAAAGCCATCCCTCTAAAATTAGATATTAAATTCAATGATAAACAGATAGAAGAAGTGTTATCTATTAAATTCCTTGGTTGGATCAAAATTTTAATTGGGAAATACATATTAATAAAGTATAAGAAAAAATGCATTAGGGCTATGTGCGGACTCCACTATAGGGACTCGTGCAAACCACTATTTAAAAAACATAGATTAATGACCTTAACTGGAATGTACATTAAACAAATAGTGTTATTTGTAATTCAAAATCCAGATATATTTCCTAAAAATAAAGAAATGAGCCAAAGAAGTCAAAGATCGAGAGTAGGAACGAAGCTGTACATACATGGAACGAAATTAAGTATTGTCAAAAATAATGTTTTCCATATGGCGATAAAAATTTATAATAAAATATCAGATGATATAAAGACACTTCCACGAGGACGATTGACATATAAATTAAATAGTTGGTTACTCGACAAATGTTTTTACTCCGTAAACGAGTTTTTAAATGAATAATAAATATGCAGTGTAATAATAATAATATGTATTTATATCTCTGATGACAATTGATTTAATAATTAAATAATATTTAATATTTATATATTTTACATGCCTAACGAGGCAAAACATAATGGGACATTATATTACAATAACAACTAATCTAAACCTATGTAAAATAAATTTGATTTGATTTGATTTGAATAACTCATAGTATGTATTTGTATAGAGTTTGTGATAGTATATAATTCAAATCGTGTTGGGTCATTTGTTATTTTACATTGCATCTATAATAATAAAGTATCTGTGTGTGAAAAGATAAAGCGGTCCATGTATACACAGCTTTATAAGCTTCATAAAGACCTCAGTGCCGTAAAGTGTAGAAAAAAAAAGTATAAAAAAACAAACTGTCATAATAATCACATAACCTCAATTTATATAATAGTTTCGAAAAACAAGCATATTTTTTTACGATTTATATCTTTCAACCAACACAATGACGGTGTATTTATCAAGAATTGCATTTAACATGCTACGGACATCTTCAGGAAGATGTCTAAACGTAGCTATTGCAACGGAAGCCGCTTGTACGAATATAAACTTTTTCCAGTCAAAAAACGATTTATTTTCCTCAGTCCGGAGAGGATTTGTTAGAAATTATTCTAGTGATGCCATACATCCTACTGTAGCACTAGACAATTCTAGTATACCATTGAAAAAGAAGACCATCTACAAGAAAGCTGCTTTGGAAGATTTACCGCAGAAAGAGGGACATTATTTGACAATGGCTTACGCTACAGCAAACTCGTACGATCTGAAGGGCTTGAAGGAGGCACTGGTACAACAGAAGCTGTATGAACCCGGAACGTAAGGTTTCACATCAGTTTTTAATGGATGATGCAATAATACCTATCTATTATAAAAATAATAATCATCATATTTATTTGTCTCAAATAAAAACTAATGCAATCGCTGCTTATTCATTCATTCATACATAAATTAACTTTAGTATGCTCTTGTCGGTGGAGCTCCCGCCACCTTCCACAATCTTCTATCAGTCTTTTTAGCTGTTGATACAACACAACTCCAAGTTTTTCCTTAACTTGTTTAATGTAGCTGTGTCTTGGTACCCCTCCTCTCTTTCCATCTATTTTTCCTTCAATAATATTTTTAATTAGTTTGTCGTGTCGTATCAAGTGCCTCAACATTTTTCCTCGCCTATTCTCAATAATATCTATGAATTGTGTCTATGCTGCTTATATAATAATAAAATTTAAAAGTAATGAACCAGACAACTTAGAGGGGGCAGTGAGTCCACCCTCTCTGCTATTCTGTTATAGCCTTTATTAGTAAATTAATACAGTAAGACATCAATGACAATGGTAGCACTTAAATTCTAAACTACTACTGACAAAGTAAACATATAAATTGATAATAAATTAACAAGATTACAAACTAATAAACTAGTATTCAGGATTACTTACAAAATTAAATAAGAACTAAAAATAATACCTATATATTTTTAAATGTGCAATAAAGCTTTATAAATAAATAAAAAACAAAATACAATAATCACCCATGTTATGATACAATAAATTTCTATTTAAATGTACATTACCATTTTAAGTAGTGGTTATTACTTATCATTATAATTTGTTCAGTTATAATTTCAATTATTTATTTTTATCATGAGAGAATTAGATGATAACTCATATACTCCACTGTGTCTAAAAAGTACAAAGTAATATGAAATTACTAGCTTTTGCCTACAGCTTCGCTTGTTTTAATTTATCCCCTTAAGGGTGGAATTTATCAAACTCCTTTCTTAAGGGATGCCTACGTCATAGTAGCTTTATGCATGCAAAGTCTCAGCCCGATTGGTTTAAAATTGACAAAGTTTCATATAAACTTTCATCCCCTATTTTATCACTTAGTGGGTAGAATTAATCAAAATCCTTTCTTAGTGGATGCCTACGTCATAATATCTACCTGCATGCCAAATTTCAGCCCAATCCGTCCAGTGGTTTGGGCTGTGCGTTGATAGATCACTATGTCAGTCACCTTTGAGTTATACATAATTAGATTACATTAATATAAATAATCATACTATATAAATAATATAAACAATCATACATAGTGGTACTTAAATTTGTATGTATTTGTATGTTATAAAGTATTTGTATGTTTGTTATATGCAGATTTTGACTCTCTGAATCTGTCTATAATCTTCAAAAAGATCTTAGCCCATCTAGAACTGCAGTGGGTTCTGTATCACATAATACAAATTAAAAAATCATCATTAAGGGGTTGGGGATAAATAATTGTAATAAATAATAATAATAACGTAATACTTGAATGTCTTCTAATTCTATTTTATAATAAATTTATAGCTAAATATAAAAAATTTACAAATAAATTCATTATCTTTAAAAAATGGTGTTTATAACCACTCTGGTGGCCACTTCAGTTGATGTTCCATTTATTGGTTTTCAGACTACAAGCACAAGAGATCGGTGATGTGGTAGTCGCTAATGCTGTGTACAGTGTTGGTGATGAACCACGAGAGATCATATTCTTCAGCGAGGGTGCTGTAGTCTTCTGGAACTGTTCTGTACTGGAGGCATCAAATGTTTTGGAATTTATTAAGAAGTAAGGTTCATTATCTTATAAAATTCTTGTGTCACAATGTTAGTTACCATACTCCTCCCAAACAGCTTGATCGATTTTTATGAAATTTTACATGCATATTTAGTAGGTCTGCGAAATGGCTACTGTCTATTTTTCATACCCCTAAGGGATATCCATCCCTAGATATATTTTTTTATTTTTTAGACAATATGTTATGTTATTATTATTTAGAATTGAAAAATACATACAACCCTAAATTTTCACACTTCTAACATCAATCTCTATTTTTTAATAGCAATTTTAATTTATATGGCAATATAACGTTTGCCGTTAGAATGGTTATAAGGGCAGAGGAAGGCCGAAAAAGAGATGGATGGACTGTGTGAAAGATGATATGGTGAGAAAGGGAGTAAATAACGCGATGACTGCGAACAGGGATGAATGGAAGCGAAAAACATATTACGACGATCACAAATGAATGGGATAAGGAAGAAGCAGATGATGATAACGTTTACCGAGACAGCTAGTTTATTATATCATTTAACTAAGTAAAAATGGTGGGAAAATTATTAGTTATATAAGTAGAAAGTAGGTGTGGCTTTTAGTGGGTAAGAAATAGAAATAATCTTTATTCAAATAAACTCATTACAAGCACTTTTGAATAGTCATATTTTGATTCTACCACTCATTCGGAATGCAGATTCGTCACAAGACGAATGAGCAAGAAACTTGTGTGTTGCTATTTTGAATAGATGTTTTTTTATATAATAATTACAGTATAACAAGTAAGAGGCATGTGATATAAGAACGCTGCACACCCTCTCATCATCTATAAGTGATTTAAACTTTCAATATACGTAATTGTTTATTTCCTTATTCCAGATACGAAATCGAGAGTTACCCAGCCGATGTGGTGGATAGAGAACGAGAAGTTATGAGCTATTTTTATCAACCAAATGCGTAAGTGCTTTAATTTAAATTTAATACTTCCAGCAACGAAGGATAAATAATCAATTTAATAATAATAATAATATTACCCATGTAGAAAGGGAGATATATAAAACATATATATAATAATAATAATAAATCTGCCGGGGGTAAGTTGCCATCTCTTCTCCTTAAGCCCCTCTTAAGGTGAAGAGATGGCAACTTACCCTACTTAGATGTAGAACTTAGATGTACTTACTTAGATGAGAATTTTTTTAAGTTTAAAAAATAATATTAATCGACTAATAAACAAAACTAACAAAACTGGATACCTGATTGATATCGCTGTCCCCAACACACATAACCTGCAAAATACGATAGCCGAAAAAATATCAAAATATAAAGAATTACAAACAGAAATAACCCGATTCTGGCACTTACAAAAAGTAACAATAGTCCCAATCGTCCTCTCAACTACAGGTGTCATACCGAAACACATGCATCAGTCACTAAATACCCTGAACTTGCCCCCTAATATATACTGCCAACTACAGAAGGCTGTAGTTCTAAATACATGCCGCATTGTTAGAAAGTTTCTACAGACAGATTAGGCCTACATTTGTATTATGGTATATCCACCTGATCTAGAACATTGTTATGTACTTGGCTTAGGCCTGTACATACCAAGATTACCGGTGAAAGTCGAGAAAAAATGTTATAAAAAAAGGTCCTGATAGTATCAGGAGATGTCAACAGTCTGTCATGTGACACAGGCCTCCTCCAAATCGTCATTATAGTACCTACAGAGTAAAAACTAAAACTTAAAACTAATATTTCGCTATGAGCTGAAAGAGCCTCCACTCAGCTGGTGCCGAAGCGTATCACTACAGTGCTGATTTTTAGTTAATATTTGCATTGTAAATTGTGTTATGGTTGAAGGACAGTGTAATTATAGGGTATACAGAGACATGATACCGTACTTCTGCGGAATGATAAGGCATGAGACTGTGGGCGTCACGTTATAACCTGATGATCTTTTTTATAACTATTCTAACATTGTTGGCAGTTGGCCTTTACAGCTTCATCGAACTATTGCAGGGCACTCTAAACATGCGGAAGGATTTATGGAGCGTCTGAAGGCAGGAGTAGGTTCTACCCGAAACTCTTCCTGCCTGTTTCTCTTCCCTTCTCTTTCTCTTTTTATTGTATTTTGTTTTTTCTGTTTATTTAATTTAATTTTTATGTAATCAACGATTGATCTGGTATGTTTTTATGAAATCAAACTAAAATATCTTAATTCGTCTGATATTTCACGTCTACTCTACTCACTGATCTGTAATAGTTAATTATTTGGCAATTCTTTTGTGGAGTCTCGCGATACAGGTTCGCCTAGTGCGGGGTCTAATGTATAATCAACTTTATAACACTTGTACGTTTGAAAATGAGAAAATTAATAAATAAATAAATATATGTATATAGGCGGTTAGCACTGACCGTCACGTGGGCTGTCAGATTGTTCATCAGTTTAACATGTTATTTATTATTTACAGAAAGAAATGTTATTTACAAGAACCATGCTTTGTGATGGTGCCAAATAAGGATAATTCTCTGGAGAGATATACATTCAGGTGAGTATCTTATTGTTGGCAGTTGTTAACATGCAGTCTATTTAATTTATAAACACATGTAATGCATTGGATAAATATTATTCGTCCAATTCAAACGGGGATCTAAATTACGACGGCCTGAGCCGAGTTTCAAACCCCTAGTGGTGCCCTCACACTAAAGTCGTATCCGTCAGGCGGGAGTTGGCCTTCAGCCGCTCCATAAGTCCTTCCTTTGGTTTGGAGTGCCATCTGCACTCGCCCCCTAACGTCCGGTGAAGCTGTAAAGGCCAGCTGCGGCCAACAGCATTAGAGTAGACCGAAAAAAAGAAATGCTTTTTCATGAGAGGGAGAGGGAATACAGAGTATTTTTGTTTTAGATCCGCATCACAATGTACATTTACATAGATTATAAATAAAGTTAGGGTTGCTATATATTTTTTAGTAATTTTACACATTTATATAAAAAAATAAATACTTTTAAATAAATTTAAAACTTTTGTTAAATCATATTTATTGAGCAAAGCCTATTACTCACTAAATAATTAAATAACAAACGTACATGGCAATAGTTGTTCCTATAGAAATATACATTGTAATTAACTTTTAATTTGACTTTAAAAAAAGAAATTTAGCTCAGTTTCTTGCCTGAGTTCTTCTTAATTGAATCTGTATACTGAACTGGACGATACAGAAAAAATATTAATACAAAAAACTTGACGTTCATAAGCGGCCACAATGTCCTACATTAATGATTTATGATTACATTTGATTTTATTTGACGGTAGCCAGGCGATGGCGCAGAGTGCACGGCTGGGAGCGTGGGAGGCTCGGCTGGAGGCGTTGGCATCCGGCGTTAGCTACCACACGGGGCGCATGCGCCGCACCGGCATCGCGCAGGTCCAGAAGAAGGAGGTAGGTGCCTTGTGTATATGTAGTGGAGCTGGTGGCCACGGTAGCTAGGTGACGGGCAGACTGCACGGTTGGAGGAGTTGGGGGCCGCAGTTAGCTACCATAGCGCAGGTCCATAAGAAGGAGGTCGGTGCCTTGTGTGTATATAGTGGAACTGGTGGCCACGGTACCTAGGTGACGGGCAGCCTGCACGGTTGGAGTAGCTGGTGGTCGCCGTCAGGTACCATTGCCAGGTCCAGAAGAAGGAGGTAGATTCCTTGTGTGTATATAGTGGAGCTGGGGGCCACGGTAGCTAGGTGACGGGCAGCCTGCACGGTTGGAGGAGCTGGTGGTCGCCGTCAGGTACCATTGCCAGGTCCAGAAGAAGGAGGTAGATTCCTTGTGTGTATATAGTGGAGCTGGTGGCGACGGTAGCTAGGTGACGGGCAGTCTGCGCGGTTGGAGGAGCTGGTGGTCGCCGTCAGGTACCATTGCCAGGTCCAGAAGAAGGAGGTAGATTCCTTGTGTGTATATAGTGGAGCTGGTGGCGACGGTAGCTAGGTGACGGGCAGCCTGCACGGTTGAAGGAGTTGGGGGCCGCAGTTAGCTACCATAGCGCAGGTCCATAAGAAGGAGGTCGGTGCCTTGTGTATATATAGTGGGGCTGGTGGCCACGGTAGCTAGGTTATGGGCAGTCTGGAGGCTGGAGGAGTTCGTGGTCACCGTCAGGTACCATTGCCAGGTCCAGAGGAAGGAGGTAGATGCCTTGTGTGTATATAGTGGAGCTGGTGGCGACGGTAGTTAGGTGACGGGCAGCCTGCACGGTTGGAGGAGTTGAGGGCCGCAGTTAGCTACCATAGCGCAGGTCCATAAGATGGAGGTCGGTGCCTTGTGTATATATAGTGGAGCTGGTGGCCACGGTAGCTAGGTGACGGGCAGCCTGCACGGTTGGAGTAGCTGGTGGTCGCCGTCAGGTACCATTGCCAGGTCCAGAAGAAGGAGGTAGATTCCTTGTGTGTATATAGTGGAGCTGGTGGCGACGGTAGCTAGGTGACGGGCAGTCTGCGCGGTTGGAGGAGTTGGTGGTCGCCGTCAGGTACCATTGCCAGGTCCAGAAGAATGAGGTAGATTCCTTGTGTATATATAGTGGAGCTGGTGGCGACGGTAGCTAGGTGACGGGCAGTCTGAGCTGGTGGAGCTGGGGTTTTTTTTATAGATAGTCTTTCAAGAGGAAGGTTTATATATATAATACATGTACACCCGTGCGAAGTCGGGGCGAGTAGCTAGTTTCAATATAAAATATAGCCTATGTGTTATGGCGATGCATAAGCTATATTACTATAAAGTTTCATTAAAATCCGTTCAGTAGTTTTTGCGTGAAAGAGTAACAAACATCCATACTTACAAACTTTATATATTGTTCAAAATCTACCCTGTAACATCGTAAGCACAGATTATTATATTAGAGTCCGTTAGTTTCTGTTCCCGCGCTTTTACTTCCCCTCCCTTACCCAGTAACTGAACCGACTGTACGGCGGCCATGACGCGCGCGCATTGTGTTGTGAATTAAAATAAATTAGAACTGTGAAACTGTGAAACCTACTGTGAAACTGGAAAGCTAGCGACGATATCTTCGAGACCCTGAAGCCCAAGAAATCCGCAGAACCATACAGGTACGTGACTGACGCTCACACAAATTTTTCCCTATATATATATAAGTACTAAAAAGTACTTTTACTTTCCCTAACATTTTGGTAGCAGAGTAGTTTCCCAAACATATATTAATATTAAGATTGTTATAGGTGGTGCGTAAACTAGGCGAGTTGTTCGCGTTACGGCACACACTCAACGTTGAATCTGATCTGCTGGACACCCCGGACTTCTACTGGGAGCAGGAGGAGTTGGAGCGGTTGTACTCCAGCACTGTCGCATACTTCACCATACCGAGACGGACCAGGGTGAGTGTTATTATATTACAGACTAGGTGTTCCCGCGACTTCGTCCGCATCGAATTTAACTTTATTTTTCTAAAATGAAAGTAGCCTAGCCTAAGTTACTCCCTATTACATCAGCTACCTGCCAATAAAAGTCCCGTCAAAATCGGCGTAGCCATTTCAGAGATTAGCCGGAACAAACAGACAGACAGACAAAAATTGTAAAAAAAGTTTATTTAGTGTATGTACCACCGTATTTATATTCATATGCATGTAATAAAAAAAGAGTATTTCAATATTACGAACAGACACTCTAATTTTATTTATATGTATAGATAATAACAATATACTAATTAAAACATGCGCATCCGAAACCCATAAAAACACACATTTTTTAATAATATATATACATATATTTCTTGTTATTGTAATTTTTATATACCAAACATTACACAATAAAGATTATATAAATAAATAAAGAAATGTTGGGGAAAAATATTAGGGCACTTGATACGACACGACCAACTAATTAATAACATTATTGAAGGAAAAATAGATGGAAAGAGAGGAAGAGGAAGACCAAGTCACAGCTATATCAAGCAAGTTAAAGAAAAAGTTGGAGTCGTGTCGTATCAACAGCTGAAATGACTGATAGAAGATCGTGGATGGTGACGGGAGCTCCACCGACAAGAGCACAGCTCTTAAATTATGAATGAATGAATGAAATAAATAAATATGAACTAGAACAAAACACAGCTACTTAGCAACTTAAACTAGCCTACTTAGCGGTTAAAACTGGCTAGACAGAAATACTCACTCAGACCAACTACCGACAGAAATATAGTACTAAATTTATTTATTTTATTTATTTATTTAAATAACTTTAATGCACGTCATACATAGGTAAAAAGTACATATGGCGGACTTAACACCTAATGGCATTTTCTACCAGGCAACCATGAGTTGTGCAGAGGTAAGTTGTTGGCGGTGCAAACAATATTATAATATTTTATAGAATATACATGAATATATATATATATATAGACACATGTAAATACATAAATATTCCTACAAATATACACAAAAATATACCATACACATAAATATATGACAATAATCTGACAATGAAATAGTGATTACAGCCGACAGTGTAAGCATATTACAATAGATACAAAAATATATATTTTTACCTAGGTCATTCCAGATCTATAACTCTAGTAAATCAAATCTGACATTTGCAGGTGTTAAACGAACGCCTGGCCCACTGCGTCGAACTCCTGGAGCTGCTTTCATCCTGGGCAGCAGACAGGCACCACGTTCGCCTCGAGTGGATGGTGATAGCGCTGATCCTCGCCGAGGTCTGCTTCGAGCTGCTGCATCTGTACGAGAGGTATACCATCAGGACCGTTGATGTCCTTACTTAGCTGCCGATGAGTGCGTACTTCGAGGGTACAGATGTGGAAGATATATATACCTACTAATATTATAAAGCTGAAGAGTTTGTTTGTTTGAACGCGCTAATCTCAGGAAGTGCTGGTTAGAATTGATTTTTTTTTATTGTATACATTTGTCGAGGCTTTAAGCTATATAACATTACGCTACCAATAGAAGTGAAGCATCAGTGAAAAATGTAGCAAAAACGGCGAACATTATTCATATTTGAGGGCTTCCTTTGCGTGCGCTGCGCGAATTCGCGGGCATAGCTAGTGTTATGCCCAATTTACACTCAGCCCGAGTGGGCAGGGAAGTGAGCACGGAAGTGAGCAGCGCGAGAGTGTAAACACGAGTGGAAACACTTCCCATGCCATTGGCGCTGCCACTCGCGCTGCCCGGCGCTCCCTCGATTGTCGGTTTTTCGTGCGCGAGTCAAAGGACTGGCAGCGCGAGTGGCAGCGTGTTTTTACATTCAGCCCTCTCGCTCAGTTGTCGCCCGGCAATCTGCCGGAAATATATATATATATATATATATATATATATATATATATAGACATGATATCTCCCGTACAACCTATGCTTATGGGCGGCGGTAATCACTTATAAGGTGTGCCGCAAGCTCGTTTGTCTCCTATACTATAAACAACAGGCTGATATTGTAATTATATGTAGTTGAAAGAATATCTAAACAGTCAATTTTATTTATACTTTATACATCACTAGCTACCCACCCCGGCTTTGTACGGGTGTACATGTATTATACATATAAAACTTCCTCTCGAATCACTCTATCTATTAAAAAAATACGCTTCAAAATCCGTTGCGTAGTATTTAAGATTTAAGAATACATATTGACGGACAGACGGCGACAGCGACTTTGTTTTATACTATATAATGACAAACAAACAGACAGACAATATACTGTAATTTTTCTTCGTTGTTGCATTATCTATATTTTTTGAGATAATATATTATTGCATTTCAAAGCAGTTATTATTGTGAATTGTTAACATTATGCTATAGTTACTTACTTGAAGTTTATATATATAATATAAGTAGTTTAATTATCAATATATAATGTAATAATTGCACGGGTATAATTTAAGGTAATAAACTAATAAACTAAACTAACCGCCGCACTTAGAGACGTTAAACTAACTCAAATAAATATTTAGTTAAATATCAATAAATCTGATAATGAGCCGTACCTCCTATAGACAAAATTCAAGGATTCATTAGCTACCTCATTGATATTTAAGTAAGGGTCGACCTGTCATTTAACTTAATTGTAACTTACTTTTATTTTTATTTATAATAACTTAATGCTAAATACAAAAAAAATAAAGGTATATGGCGGACTTAACACCATAAGGCATTTCTCCCAGTCGACCATAGGGCAAACAGAGATTACTGTTGCTAATCATGGGTAAAAAATTATTTAAAATCTGAACAACGCAGATTATTAATTAATTATTAGACGACTCTGAGTGCGACTGTATATAGATTATATTACTAATTTATATTTAACATACACATTTATAAGTTTATTATTTAGTTATATACATATTGTATTAATGTATGTATAATATTAATTAATTTACTAATAATAATATCTCTGAACGATTTTCTGAACGATCTCTGAACATTAAAAAAAAAAAATACGAGCTGAGTTTCTTGTCAGTTCTTCTCATCTCGAAATCATTCCGAACTGACGGTAGATTTGACATATCATAAGAGTCTGTAATAGACCTACATGAATAAAGATATTTTGAATTTGAATTTGAATTTGAATTTACACAGCGCCATCTAGTCACAAGCTACGCCGAGTTACTGTTACTACTACTGGAGTAGACAACTGATATAAATACTTAGATTTGGTTTTCTAAATACATACGTAATGTACACAGAAAACACCCAGAACGATACAAGCAATCGTACTCGTGAATACAAATGTTTGCACTGTGCGAGGAATCGAACCCGCGACCATCGGAATTGAGACGGTGTGCTGAACGAGGACGTCAAATAATAGTAATTACAGATATATGTTTAAAGTATTTAATGTATGTTTGATATATTTTTATAAAATACTAGCTGTCCCGCCAAACGTTGTTTTGCCATATAAATTAATAACGATATAAAAAAATAGGAGTTGGTGATAGAAGGGTGAAAATTTAGGGTTGTATGTATTTTAATGAATAAATAAAAAATTTTGCCCAAAAAATAAAAAAATAATGTTAGGGGTGGAGTGATAAGTGTTATCACTCTAGGGGTATGAAAAATATATAGTAGCCGATTCTCAGAACTACTGAATATGCATATACAATTTTATAAAAATCAGTCAAGCCGTTTAAGAGGAGTATGGTAACTAACATTGTGACACGAGAATTTTATATATGAGATAACTTGACATTAGTTTGAATAATTTAACTTGAGCATGGGGAATAGAGGACACTTCATACTATAATAATGCAGGGTTATGCATTTTGAAAATGTCAAATATTTTGTTTATATATTTTTTGTATAAGTAATAACTTTATATATATAAGTAAACTGTAGATTAGTCATTAATATATAATGTAAGATATAGATTTGTTATTTTATTTATATAAATAAGTAATTCTTGGTGTTATATTGCTGGCATTTTATTTTTATACTATGTAGATATGTACATAAAATATTTAGTAGTTATAAAATATGCCGAATGGTCTTGTTAAATAAATAAATAATATTGGAATTAATTATGAATTATTATTTAGTATTTATTTTTATATTGTAACTAGTATTAACTTTAGCGGTGAATGGGCGAATGGTTGATTCTCCTGAGGTCTGTAGAAAAGAGAATGCTGATATTGGAAAGAGATGCTTTTTGGTGTTTCAGACGTCCATAGGCTGCGGTAACCGTTTACCATCAGATGGGCCGTATGCTTGTTTGCCACCTACGTGGTATAAAAAAAAAAGATGATAATGGTGCACCCGCCTGCGCTAACGGTTTCCGTTGGCGGAGCACCAGTGCAGGATGATAAGAGGAGCATGAGGTCTGGTCAGTTAGCCCATTGTGACAAATTCATCATTCAAGAATTTATCATAATGGTTTCTAGAGGAAACCGCGTAGAGGTCAACCTGACATGGTACATGATAGCAATAGTTCATCAGTTCACATTACTAACAATCCCCTTTCCTCCCCAAGCCCTGGACATTTCACACAGCGCCATCTAGCGATAAGCTAGCAGAGCTTTAGTTAGACAACTCAGTACATACAGCTAAGCAGAGCTTTAGTTAGACAACTCAGTACATACAACATTCCACGCGGTTCCCCCTGGAAACCATCGTAAAATCGATAAATTCTTGGTGAATTTGTCACGATGGGCTAACTAACCTGACCTCATGCTCATCTTATCATCCTCCACTGGTGCCCCGCCAGCGTAAACCGTTAGCGCAGGCGGGAACATCATAGCATTATCTTCCATAAATAAAAAAAAAAAAAACATATTTCTTAGCTTGGAACTAGATGGCGCTGTGTGAAATATTCTAGGGTTTTTATTATTCAAGTTGTTGCAAAATCTATATGCGAACAGCACACGGGATATGATGTAGGTGAACTTGTTTCGTCCGCTGCCCCTGAAGGGGGAGAGTGCGTCAGAAGGGGCAGGAGTTGAAATAATTTGTAGGGGTCAAGAGTTGTGTGCATTCCTCGTAGATTCGGCCAGTATAACCGAGAGGTTGGAATGGCCATAGGTTGGTGGAGGGTTGGTACTTACTACAGAAAGGACAGGAGTTGAAATAATTTGTAGGGGTCAAGAGTTGCGTGCATTCCCCGTAGATTCGGCCAGTATAACCGTGAGGTTGGAATGGCCTTGGGTTGGTGGAGGGTTGGTACTTACTACAGAAAGGACAGGAGTTGAAATAATTTGTAGGGGTCAAGAGTTGCGTGCATTCCCTGTAGATTCGGCCAGTATAACCGAGAGGTTGGAATGGCCATGGGTTGGTGGAAGGTTGGTACTTACTACAGAAAGGACAGGAGTTGAAATAATTTGTAGGGGTCAAGAGTTGCGTGCATTCCCCGTAGATTCGGCCAGTATAACCGAGAGGTTGGAATGGCCATGGGTTGGTGGAGGGTTGGTACTTACTACATAAAAAAAAAGGGGGTTGGTACTTACTACATGGGTTGGTGGAGGGTTGGTTCCTACTTACTATTATCAAATCATTAGCTTATTAGCCATTTTATTTATATAAATGGAAAACTATTTATGAGTGAAATCCCCCTTCGATCGATCCCCCGTCCAATTCAAACGGGAATTGAAATTACGACGGCCTGGAACCCCTAGTGGTGCTTTCAGACTACAGTCGTATCGGCCAGGCAGGAGGTGGCTACAGCCGTTCCATAAGTCCTTCCTTTGATTTGAAGTGCCATCTGCACTCGTCCCCTATCGTCCTGTGAAGCTGTAAAGGCCAGCTGCGGCCAACAGCATTAGAGTAGGTAAAAAAAAAATCATTCCCCTCTCTTATGCAGGACCTACACACGCGACCATCGACGGGGCCCCGAGCGCCGCACCTTTACCAGCGAAGTAGAAGAGAACTTGTTCCAAGATTTATCCATTCTGGACACTTAAGTTAGTGAATCTAAGTTGTTTTAGATGTAAGTTAGTGAATTCTAAATTATTTTAGATTGTGCTTATTCTGATCGCATAAGTTTGTTCGCTTCCAAAGAATCATTATTAATGTTCGTCCAGTATAAATATATAAATACATGATCATAACTAGACTGATCCATTCTGGACACGTACGATACAAGATTAGTCTGTTCTGGAAACGTAAATTAATATAATATAAGATTGTTCCTATTCTGGACACATACATATCACTTAATAAAGACCCGGTTAATAATTTAAATAATGTATATTATACACGAAAGTTTAAAAATAACTATACATATAAGTGAACATAATATAAGACTGGTCCTATTCTGGACATACTCCAAGACTGGTCCATTATAGAACCGTAAGTGAACATAATACACGACTGGTCCTATCCTTACATATAAGTGAATATAATCCAAGACTGGTCCTATTCTGGAAACGTAGGCAAACATAATTCAAGACTGGTCCATTATAGAAACCTATGTGAATATAATTTAAGAAAGATCTATTTGGGACATAAAGTAAGAGAACTTGTTCTAAACCTTTTTGGATACAGTGTAGTACATTCAATATTGATTCTATATCATGTAATATATATATATATATAAGGTGTGTAATTAAGTATTATTGACTGTTACCATTCCGTTTTGTTTGTTCTGATATAAAGAAATTATAGAAAAAGTAGCTACTTGCCCCGGCTTCGCACGGGTGTACATGTATTATATATAAACCATCCTGTTGAATCACTCTATCAATTAAAAAAAACTTCAAAATCCATTGAGTAGTTTTAAGATTTAAGCATACATAGGGATAGACAGCGACAGCGACTTTGTTTTATACTATGTAATGATATAAATATTAGAAGAAACTAAACTATTTAAAAGAGCAACACTCGTTCTTGACCTTTCCGAATGAGTGGTAGATTAAAAAAATAAATATGATTTATAAAAGTGCTTATATTTATGTTTGTTTGAATAAAAAAATTATGTATTCTATTCTTTTCTTATTTCTGATACCACTACCGGTTTTTCGAGTAGTGGAACACAAAATGGCGGCCTATGAACGGTGATTTGGACAAAAAGGGTAATATATGAGTATACATAATATACAAAGACATCAATAAAACTATCATACTCATGAACACAAATGTTTGCACCGTGCGAGGAAACCCGCGGCCATCGGATGTAAAGCGATGTACTTTTACTGCTGTACCGCTAGACCACTGAGACGACCTCAGTGGTATATAATCATATTTAGTCATATTTGATACAGGTCTGATATTTTTTTTATTATTTTACCTAATAGATTTGTGATATGTATTTTTTTCAATTTTTTTTATTGTATGATAATGGAATGTTGCACCTGTCTGTGCTAACGGTTTACGCTGGTGGGACACCAGTGGAGGATGGTAAGATGAGCATGAGGTCAGGTCAGTTAGCCCATCGTGACAAATTCACCAATTTATCACGATAGTTTCCAGGGGGAATCATCGTGGAGATCTATCTGACATGGTCAATTTATCACGATAGTTTCCATGGAGAATCATCGTGGTGATCTATCTGACATGGTCAATTTATCACGATAGTTTCCATGGAGAATCATCGTGGTGATCTATCTGACATGGTCAATTTATCACGATAGTTTCCGTGGAGAATCATCGTGGTGATCTATCTGACATGGTCAATTTATCACGATAGTTTCCATGGAGAATCATCGTGGTGATCTATCTGACATGGTCAATTTATCACGATAGTTTCCGTGGAGAATCATCGTGGTGATCTATCTGACATGGTACATCGTTAGCAATGGATTCCTCAATGCACATTACTAACAATACTATTCGCCCCTGTTCTTTTTCAATTTAACTGACCTATTGTTGGTTCTGTGAGTAGAACGTAAGTCTTTTGCTTTTTTGTTAGTTTCATAAAATGCAAAAGTCTTGCTAAAAACAGCAAGAACCCAAATTTGCGTAAAACTATTTATGGTCCAAGAGATTGAGCAGCCTATAAGCCTTCTCCTGACTTCTACTTCTTTTCCAACTCTAGTAGCGGTAGAGATCGAACGAACTAGTTCGGAAAAGAGCTACGAACTATGCGCAAAACTATACCAAACTCAATTTTTTTATACTACGATGCTGGCAATCAAGCATACGGCCCATCTGATGGTAAATGGTTACCATAGCCTATGAACGCCTGAAACACCAGGGGTACGTGCGCGTTGCCGACCCTTAAGAAACCTTCATATACCCTTCTTGAAAAAGATGAGATGGGCCCCTTACACACACATCAGTACACAGTGACGCGGTGGCAATGCTCCGCAGTGGTGGATACGCATTTTTTTTTTCATTTTTATCATTGTTTTTGGTATATATTTTTATATATATTATTTTCTTTTGTTTGAGTTTCTTGTTCGCTTTTTTTTTTCTCTTAATGATTTGTATTGTATTTATTATTTCTATTTATATGTTATAATAATTTATATGCTGCTGTGAGCATCGTCATTGTTGTGTTGTGATGTGTGATAGTAATAAATATTATTCTATTCTATTCTATTCTAAAAACCCCATGCTATAGTCTTGTGGGAAAACCTCGACAGGAAGTTCATTCCACAATCTAAGTGTACGCGGGAGGAAGCTCCTCTGAAACCGCACTGTCCGAGACCACTTAGGTTCTATTTTAACATTCATATTCATAGCGAAAAAAAAACAAAAGGCCAATACACACGTCCTCAATATCGTAAACAAAAGACTAAAAGCATCATAATAGTCTATGCGGAGTCTCGTGGACACGACTTGTTCCGTCGTGATGTCGCGCCGTGTCGCCGGAAATGTCGCCCCCCTCCCCCCGTCCCCCTCCGTCCCTCGTACAGTGTAGTATAAACATACCCTTTTTGAGGTGAATAGTGAAAGTAGGTTTTGTATTGAATACATAATCCTGTGGCTAGAGTAGCTATTTTAAATGAAGCGGCGAATCGCCGCGCCGCACAGTGGACCCAAATTGAAAATTGGTGGACATAGGCAACAAAGTTCCAATATCGATACGATTTTTTTTTATATGACGTGTTATGACATTCCTTACAACTTTTACTCTTGTAAAATTTCTTCTAAAGTTGATAGTTTGTCTGAAAAAAAAATAAATTATATTTTTTTTGTATGGAGCGAATCACGTTTTATTTTTTTTCTTTAATTGTACAAATATGTTGGGTGTATGGCGTTGGTATATAATAGTTAGGGTCATTCTCTATCCACTAAAAAATAAATCAGCCGCGGCCACTTGCAGCCGCGCGAGTAATCGTTCGGTAAAAAAACAATATTTTATATGAATTTTTTTGCCATTTAAAATAAATTCAAAGTATATTTTTTGTCTCATTTGACTGTTTTTGCCTTCTTTTTAGTTAAATATATAGTTTTAATACCATATAGGTATTTAGTGCTAGTAATTCTGGTAGAATTTTAGTTGCTTTTTTTATGTTATCGGTGGCATCTGCATTATGATTGATGATTCATTTGTTTGTGCACCAATTTTCAATCTGGGTCCACTGTGCGCCGGCCATGGCTTCGGTCGGGTGTACCTATATGTATACTTATTATTATTATTTATTTATTTCAGGCTACTAATGACATAGGTCATTTGTAGCGTAAATTATAAATACTTTATAGATTAACATACATATGAAATAAAATACCTACGAATATTATAAACGCGAAAGTTTGTAAGCATGGATGTTTGTTACTCTTTCACGCAAAATTGCTGAACGGATTATGATGAAACTTTACGGTAATAACCTTGCATATTACTTGCTTAATTTGTGTAGCTTGCAGATGCATATCAGAATAACATAAAGGCAGCTAGTCTATTATATTCAGGCTACAAATGGCCCATATTATAAATACCTTACAGACTAACATACATATGAAATAATAATAAAATATATATTGTCTGTGTGGTCACGCCACTGACGACGGTAAACTGCCACGGTAGCGCAGCATGTTGTTAGGGACCATTTAAAAAAAAACGAATTAAATATCTTAATATTTACTGTAATAATAGAGTAAGCCGAGTAGGACGGAAAATTCAAAAATAATTTATTCATTTTAGCCGCTTATGAACGTCAAATTTTTTATATTATATTTTTTTCCCTACCGTCCTGTTTAGTATATAGATCCAATTGAGAAGAACTGGCAAGAAACTCAATTGAATTGCTTTTTTTAAAAGCCAATGTATATACAATGTATATTTATATAGATGTCTAAGTCTAACATTATATGGAAATCCCGTGCATGAACAACTATTGCCATGCACGCTCGTCGTAAGTAATCGTTTTGAGTAATAAGCTTTGATCAGTAAATATGATTTAACAGATGTTTTGATCTATTTAAGGGTAATTCCAGTATATCCTTTGGTATCTTATTGTAAATTTTTATAGCTTTTCCCATAAAAGACCTATTGACTTTTTCTTTATATACTTCTTCTTTCGATACTTGGGTACAGCAAGTTTGTCTTTAAATCTAGTATTAATATTATGAATATTGCTGTTTTTTTTGGAAATAAGTGACGATTTTTGTGAACAAATAGAATAATAATAATAATAATCTCAGGACAATTCACACAGCGCCATCTAGTCCCAAGTTAAGCTAGCTAAAGCTTGTGTTATGGGTACTAGATAACTGATACAAATACATAGATATTTTTTTTTCGTAAATACATACATATTATACATAGAAAATACCCAGACCGATACAAACAATCATACCCGTGAATACAAATGTTTGTGCCGTGCGAGGAATCGAACCCGCGACCATTGGACATAAAGCGGTGTGCTGGACCGCTATACCACCAAGGTCGTCCAAGAATATTTGTTATAAACTGAGAAGCACCGGTAAGAATGTTTGCTTCTTTAACTTTCCCTCTTAATGAGTCACGACTCCTACAGTAGATCGCTCGAATGGCACGAAAATGTTGACGGCAAAACTTCGATTGAGAGTATTGCTATCGCTCATATGTGAGGGGAGACGCGAGATCTCTGAATAGTGATAGAACGAAAGCTCATGCATACCTATGGTGAATTTGTGGGGCCCTGTGCTAAATCTTAGGGACCTACCTAATTATATTACTCAACTAAAAGAATACACCGACCAAGAACAAGCGACCAGAAATTTCCCGTTCCTTTCGATATACGCGCACTCGTATGGGTTGATTGATCTCAGGGTTGCCAACCTTATATAGGTTTTTTAACATTCTAGATATTGTTATATATTCTAAATATCGTTTCTGTGGGGACTGGGGGCCCTTTAAACATTATAGGATACCTCGGGGCTCTGGG